AAATATTGGCCCAGTTGCCGGTCTAACTTCGGGGGAGCTCAGTCAAATTAAATGCTGGCACGACCCAACTGTTACCCAACTTCATATCTCCCACCAAACCCTTTCTCTCCCTTTCCACCGTTTCTTCTTTCTCGTCCGATTGATATTACGATATTGAGAATTGATATCAACAATCTCCCTTTTCATTTGTAAGGTAAATACAAACGGAAAGTCGGGGTGTGTGTTCCCTTTCCAAGTGTATATATATATATATATATCGGCGTTCGTGTTCGCGCGCGACGCAAACAAATTATCTCGATTCCGTTTGTTTATTTGCGTGACGGCTGCCACCTCGATATTTGTCGTATACAGTGTAACTCAAGAGAGCATGTCAATATATACGGTTTGCCGTAACACACATCTTCCCCCGTTCTCATCGGGGCATGCAGATCGGCGCACGTTGGATTATGGTGCGCCGCGCGTTTTGAATTTGCAGATGAGAGTTGGCGAAACTGTCCGAGATATATATATGTGTGTGTGTGTGTGTGCCTGTGTGTGTGTGCCTGCGGAAGAAGAATATATCGAAGCGAAGAGGAGAAAAGTCCGGGGCCATATAAACTCCGACGTGTAATTCAGCCGGGTAAAACGCCAGCCGATAAACTTGCACTCGGGACTTCTCCCTGTTTTCTTTGAATGCGCTTCAACGTGGGCGCGTACACCGCACTTTCAAGCGCGCTCTCTCTCCTCGATATTTTCCAAGCCGTTGTTTTCCTTTTATCGTGCGTCTCGTTTCAACTTATTTAAGTCCCCTTTTCTCTATCCTCCCTTCTCGCCCAAAGCTTTTGATACCGCCGTATTACGTTGCAGGTGAGCGAATTCACGCATTGGTTACTTAGTGTTCTTCGTTAATGCGTTAAAATTGTATTGACACGCGCGTGTCGGCCCCCTCTCCCTCCCGACCGACCGACACGCGTGCGTCGTAATCTGTGACGCACGCGGAGCAATTTTAATTAAACGCGATTTTATTCCCGTTGTAACCTTTTGTAATGGATTTTTTTCTACGAGCTTGCGCGATATAATAAAAAGCGCAGATCGTGCAACACACTCGTGCAATGCGAAAGAGAACGAGAAAAAAAAAAAAACACACAGAAATTGTCTTATTGCGTTCCGCGTTAAAATGGTTGAAAACGTTCGCGGATACTTTTGCAAAAAAATCAAAGACACGTGTTTGCGTATTTGTCGAACTCTCGACGCACACACATCCTCCCGAATCCTCTTTCCGTTTCGTCAGAATTTTCTGTTGGGTTTCGAAATATTGCAAATTTGTTCGATAACATTCTCAACAACTTTTTGCGATTCGCAAATATCCGTTACAACCGCGTGACGAAAGTTATGCCGCTTTGCCGTATTGCCGCAACTTCGTTGAAGGAGAGTCGCCAAGAAGGTCTTTTTATGCCACGGCGACCCGCAGGTACGTGATATTATGCGAAAAGAGAGTGACTTTGAAGTACGCACAAATCGAAAGGCGCAGATATAACTCGAGTGCACGTACTTGGCCGAACACGATTGGCCGTGTCGACACAATGCGAGAATTTGCTTCAAACGTGCCAAGTCGTCCACTCGAAGCTCGAGAGTTTTGTTAGAATTCGCCAATAAGATTGTGTACAGTTCAATGCGGATAACGCACGTCAAAAATGTGACATAATCACATTCCGTTTGTGTAAATGTGAATGATCGGACAAGTAACCACCGGTCAGACATTTTTATTAAGGAAACGCAATTATCAACAAAGTAATTTTCCACGGGGGTTGAGAACAAATGTTCAACACATTTTATATCTGGTGGCAAATATATTTACGTAATTATTTCTTTAACAAACGTCCGATCATTGGGACATTTATGACGTGTGGTTATTATTATTAATTAATTAATTCAAGACGAAGCAAAAGTATTGACGGTAAACATAAATAATTATTTCATTTTCAATTTGTGAAAAAAAATCTTAAATATATTATGACCGCACCGGAGAGTCCGATGGAAGCAAAATTTAATCGTTAAGAGAACAGTCGAGCTTTTCGTAATTAGACTGCTAATTAAATTTATGCAGTCTCTAATTTGCCGAGTCAATATTAAAATATTAGTTTAAACACTCGTTAATCATTGCAATTGCGCTAAAACACGATTCGAATAATAGGTGTAATAAAAAGCACGAGCTTGAAATAAATTAAACTCGTTATATTTATCGCATTTTTATGCAATTTTTCTCGAACGGGAATATTTCATGAAATACAAAAGTGCGTTCCTTTCTTTTTGCGACGTATATTTCTAGTTTTATTGCTTCGGTCAAACACAAAAAAAAAAAAAAAAAAAACGGTGGAATTTAAATTACACGTAACAAGATAATCAACATTCTTTTGTATTCCACGGCAACTTAATTACAAAGAAGCAAGACGCCCTTACCGCGAATCTCTAAACCTTAATATCACAGAGGATTCCGAGAGAGGTCGAAATGAAAATGAAGCTTTAGATTACGTCAGGGACGCGCTGCTTATAGAAAATGAGAGAGGGAGACGCCGCGGGAGCAAAGAGGAAACACGAGGAGAGGAAACCGAGAAACACATTCGGGCGCGTTTTACCGGCAAAAACTGCGCCTCCGCGCGAAAAATGTAAATTAGAATATAAAGAATTAGAAAGGCAAAAAAAAAAAAGAGTATTATAAATTAAAGTAATCCACGGTCGGTTCCCGCATTTTTAATCGCGGTAACGTATTACGTCCGCGCGCGCGGAAACTGTCGCGCGAAGGCTGGATGTTTACGGCGAGAAGGAACAGAAAGAGAGAGAGAGAGAGAAAGAGAGAGAAAAGCTGGAACACACAGGGCGAACTTTTCTTCGGGACCATTATTTTCTCTTATGAGAAATTTGGGGGATACGTCCCGGGAATATTAACCGCGTAAAGGTGGCCGGCAAGAAAGTACTTTCCGCGAATTTGGCCTATGCAAATACGGGCGAACAATCCGGGAGAGGGGTTGGTAGGTCGAGTTCTCGCAAACCCTCGCCTAGTGAAAAAGTTTGGACGCCCCGCGACGAATACTAATTAAAGACTTGCGGAATGAAATTAGTTAGCCGAGAGGTCGGGCGAGAGAAGAGAGAGAAAGAGAGAGAGAGAGAGAGAGAGAAGGAAGGGTGACTCCCGAGGATGGACGATGGAGTCCTCGACTCCGGCGACGAAGAGCCGCTTATGATAATATAATAATACTTACTTGGGGCCTCGGAGTGCTACCTCCAAGCTCATTATGCGTTTAGTTCATAACTTCAATTGGATTCTTACTATCCTCACTGAGCCAGGGCTTTCATCTTGCCGTTGTCTCAAACCATCCTAATTATACAAGTAATTACTATCTCGAAAGAGAGCGTTTTTCTTTCTCTATTTTTTTTTTTTTTTCTTCTCTCCCCTCCGACACCGACTACGCTCTCGTTCATCGGCCGCGACGATGCCGCGTAAGCAACGATAATTCGTCGTTCCCTTTTGCAATTCAAATCGTCCGGGTGTGTATTTCGGTTTCCGAAATCTCGTTGTTCTAATTTCGTCACGCAAACCGCGCGCGTTGCGCAAACTTTTTTCCCCAAATATATTTCCAAAGAGTGAGTTTTCTCTCTCGTCTCAATGCAACGCGCGGGCGAAAATGCGATTTGCGACTTATCGCGTCGAGTTAAACGCCGTTTCAGAAAAGGAGAGGGAAGAAAATATTTGTTGACCCTCTACCGCGCGCACTCCCCTTCCCTCTTCCCTTCACCGCCCATTGCTACGGGAAATTTTCACAGAGTCCATATTGTCGCTCGCGCGCGCGGGCTTTGAAATCAATCTCAGTACTCTGGGAACATGATAGTCCGATGCGAGTAGGAACTTCTTCCTCTTCCTCCGGTCTCGGTCCATTGAAAAAAGGCTCTTGAGTCCATCTCAAGGTATCGATTAACAAACACTCGAACGGCTAGTGCCGCGCCTTTGTAGAGCCCGCTTTGCAGAGTAACCGCTCGTGGTAAAGCCGTTTCGAGCTTTCCTGAATGGCACAGTGAAAGCTTTCTGTGCGAACGACTCGCCGAGTGTTGCACAAGAGGCGGACCTTTCGAACTCCCGCAGAATAACGCGACCGTGCGCATCCATTTGTGCGCGCGGTAGAATTTCGCCGACCTAATCGAATTCCGGTTGCGTCGGCGAAATTTTCGCATTCGCGACCGACGAGCGCGATATTTAATTTAGCAGCGCCGGGGGTTTGATATTCATGACGGGGCACACCGCGGAAATAAATATAACGCTTTTGACGAGAGAGAAAGAGAAAGAGAGAGAGAGAGAAGGAGAAAGCACTTGAGAAATATGTATCGACCCTTTGATTTTCCTCTCCCCCGAAAATTGCACCGTCACGATATATTATTCTACTCGCCGAGCTGTCTGCGACTTATCAGAAAATTACTGCTTTCAGCTTTTTGCCGTCGAAAACTCCGCGCGCTTAACATATTTTCTCTTTTTCCAACAGGAAAACTCTATTTCAACTTCTTGCAACGTCGTAATCGCATTCCCTCTCAGTTTTTGTATCCCACTTTATTGGTAATATCAACTCTCTCTCTTTTCGCACGCGCGCGCGCGCGAGTGCAATATTTTTTTTTCTTACACTATATGTATATATATATATATATATATATTTCGCTCTTTTGTGTCGTTACGCGGGTTTGAGTGTTTTTCAGAAAATAAGGCGGCGATAAAATTATACGACTGAGACCTGACGGGGCGAGAGAAACCCGCTCTTATACGGAAATGTAATCGCGTAATACGCGATACGGATTTAACACGTTCGCGTTTCACGTTTTCAAACCGACTATTGAAATACACTTTCACCTGCTGCATTATAAGGGAAACCATTTGTCACACGATAGCAATCATGCAATCACTAAGCTACTCACTTTTATATGCAACAACACAAACCGCACGGTCACGAGCCGTGTGTGTTACAAGGATAACGCCTTACCTTCGGATTTAGGTGCGGGAGGTTTGCGAGTGGCCCAATTTGTCCGAATACTTCTTCCGCCAAGCCACTGGCCGTTCATGTGACCGATGGCGCTCTCTGCTTCCTGAAAAAAAAAAAAAAACAAAAAGAATAAGAACGGGGTCAGCGTCTAATCAACATCTTCTGGGCGCAGAATTTAATTTGAATACAACAAAAACTTGGGGGGTGGGGAGAAGGAAGGGGGGATTGTTAAACGCATACGGGACGAAATTGCCTGATTGTCTCAATTTTGTACACGCTCTGCAAATTGCGTGGGTTTAACATCACGGCATGGTCGTTTAACATCTGTGTGTGATTTTTTTTTTTTTTTTTTTTACCAACACGTTCTTTAACATTCTATTATCGGCGTTACCCGTTTTTATCGTAATTTTAGAACCATGTTTGTCGGCGGGTTTTTGCACGCGGGAAGTCCGCGCTTAATATACAGCGCGCGGTATCTGCGCGGTAAATGTTATACGATTTTTATGTTACCGCGGGACCATTCATTAATTCACTCTTTACGATCAAAGGTACCGTTGATTTTGCAGAAAGCATTCAGATGGAAATACAAAATATTTTTGCATACAACGCGAAACAGTGGAGTTATTTTATTTTATAATACCGCTTTATCGAAGGCAACGTAAATGCGTACGGATAACATTTGCAAAATTTTTACATTACAATGCTCTATTTTGCTTCTCGAAGCAGACGTTTCTGTGTAATACGCGTACAAATATACGACGTGGAACAAAAACGTCGCGGGGATAGATAAAAGAGTCGAGAGACAGAGACAGAGAGAGAGAGAGAGAGAGAGAGACTTTTTTTGGGTTTGGTTCGTTTTATCGATGTGAATTTTGTAGACCAAACTCGCGAGACGATCGGTCTATTGGATTTGATTTCCGCGAATAGACCAATTAGTTCGCGAGTTAGTCCATTTCGAAACTCATCGAAAAAAGAAACGCTCTCTCAATTTGTTCGCGAGAGAAAACGAGAAAGAGAGAGAGAAAGAGAGAAAGAGTATCTGCAAACAAAAGATACATCAATAAAGAATAATTGACATTTATCATTTAATGAAGGAAAATTGCAAAATAACTAATACAACTGCAAAATGATTGGAGATGCGATTGTGTGTCTGTGTTTGCGTGTTACGCGGAAACGCTGCTGAAGGATTTCATCGTGAGACGAATGAAAATACCGCGACGGCGAAAGCTCCTTTATTGTCTTCGCTCGCAATGTCTATAACAACAATCGCGCGGGGAAGAGAGGAACCCGTCGTCGTAAGAACCGCGGCGACATTCGCGCTCGCGAGAAAAAGAAAGAAAGAAAGACAGAGAGAGAGAGAGGATGTCGTCGTCGTCGCGCGAGAGAGGATGCGAGCGGCATTCACACGCAAAAGCGCGGATAAAACCAACAGGTATGTCGACGTCAATATTATCCGCGACTTATTGTTGATTCAGCCGCGGTATCCCGCCGACGTGGCCCTCGATCCAGGTCAACTTAATATACGTTTTGAAATTTTATTCGATCGACTGCACTCTTGATTCCCCGGGATTTTCGCGCACCGCTCCGGGCGATCCGGGGACATTTTCCATCGCGGGATTCCCTTCTGGACGGAATCGCTTCTGGCAAAGGGCAACGAGAAACGGGGGCTTCGACGACGATATAGATGGGACCGTGTATATGTATACGTATTTCCGCGGGAGCTCTATTTTCGCGGAGAGAAACGCTCTAACAAAACTTGATTTCGCGGCGATATCCCAACGCGCTCGTCCATTTGCGTTCGCTCCGTGTGTGTGTGTGTGTGTGAGGGAAAAAAAAAAGAAAAAAAAAAACAAGGCCGAAATCTTTCCCATCGATCGGCTGAAACCCCGCGTAACGCGCGCGAGAAAGGTAAAAAGAGGTCGGACCCCGCCGGTAATATTCGCGCCGCTTGTGCGAAAGAAATATATACGCTGTGACACACGTCATCGATTGCATCGTGACACACGCGCACTCTCTCAGAGCTCACGAGCTCGCGCGCCGAACGTCGTGACGGTGGCATTCGGACGGTGGCGGAGAATCGCATCGGGGGATGAGAAGAAGGAGAAGAAGAAGTGCCGAGGAGGGATGGAGAGACCTAAAAATATTCTCGTCGCGAGAAATTCCCCCGAAAAAGTTTACTGTTCGAAAAGCTCCTCGGGGATGTGCGTAGTGAGAACCGGGAAAACCCCAGTCCAATCCCCTGTTACCCCCCTCCTCCCTCATTCCCTCAGTTTTCTACGATCTTTCCCTCTGCGCCTTTTCAGTTTCCGCGGCGGCACAGTCCACCCTCTCTCTTTTTCTCTCTCTCTCTCTCTCTCTCTCTCTGCTCCGCTCTCAACCATTTGCGCCATTTGGGGGAGTCCCTCGGCTTCGCCTCATCTCCGACCGGTTACTTTCTTCGTACGGCCGTGCAAGCTGCAGTCGAGAGCCCCAGTGGCTCTCTCTTTCTCTTTCCGCGCTTTTCTACGCCGTGTGCCCTTTCCACGCCGGTTTCTATCTGAATAAAGTATTTCCGATTCGAATTTCCATCCTCTGATATGACGGCGCACATTCGCGCGGTTAGCCTAGATAGAGCCAGGCGACCGAATGCCCCGCTCTAAGCCGATTCTAAACTTCGGTCGATATCCCCGACGCCTCTCTCCGACCCGCCTAACCCCTGAAAACCACCGCCGCCGCCGCCGCCGCCGCCGCCGCCGCTTGCCCCCTTCCGTCCGGCGGCGTGACCAGGGCGTTTACGTGATACGACCAGAAGCACCACTGTCCGTCAGTCGGTTCTCCCTACCTACCGTTTCACCCTTTTTCTCCTCCCCCGTTCGCGGCTGTTCGAGCTGTCCAAGCACCCATCAAATCGAATTTCTTCCGCGGCCGACGATGCTCTATAGATAAACGGGGGAGCGCCGCGCGCGCATCGACACCCAGCTGTTACACGCATTACTAAGTCATGCCCGATATATACGGCGTTACGCGCTGTCGGATTACGTGGCCTTAACGAAACTTCTCTTCTTTGCTAAACAAGTTGCACTAAGCTTGATCGCAGTCGACTTTGTCGCTACTTACGTCGAAGAGAGAACGCACAACTTTCTCAAATTAAAACTTCGTCATACGTATCTCTGACGCGTATTTTCCTCCTCCTCCTCCTCCTCCTCCTCCTCCCGCTTCCCGCCCTGATTACTGAAAGACGACACAGAGAGAAGAAACCAGCCAAGCTGTTTATTCAATTATATTCCGCGCGAGGGAAAATTTATACAAATTTTTTCTTTTTTTGCGTCACCGCGATGTTCTCACAGAGACACGTAATGAGTAACGGTACGGTTTCCGCGCCCGCGCGCATATATATATACATATATGATTTTCTTGAAAACGTTGAAAATTATTTATTTATTCGCTCGGCAAAATCCCGGGGAAAAAAAATCTTACGTAACGTTTCAAGCAATTTTTTAATAAAAGCTGTGCGAACGCACGACCAAATAAAAATATGACTTGTTGTTTCAAAAATTCTCCGTGACTTTATATACATCTACATATGTGTATATATACTACATCTCTGTTGCGTCAGAAAATAAAGACTATTTATTTACACGGTCGGCGTCGTATATTCAGTAACGTGTCAACGTGTCTGCTATGTGCATCCGGTGTTTTGACTGCGATCGTAAATAAAATAAACGTTTGCACATGCGCGCGTAACCGATGCGCCGTCTAAATGACGCTTTAATTGCTCTTATTTGTCTCGAAACGTCATAAATCGGGGGGGGGGGGAAGAGGAGCGAGCGAATCCCGTCCGCGAGAAACTCGGCGGTTCTTTCTTCTTTGTATGTGTGTTTAAGGTCGCGAGACACACAATATCGCACGATTTATCGATCAAATGGTAAAGAAACAAAAGTTGACAAGTAGAACGTCCCGCGAACGACGCGCGTACTTGCACGACGCAAAGTACACGCTCTGTCTATCAACCCGGTAATACGGCCACACACAGTCTAGAAACCACGTGACGGATGCGTATTTGCACACACGTCGACATTGCGCCACATATTTGTGTTTCTTCTTGCAAACTATCGTTCTTTACTTTTACTTGTTTTTTTTTTTTTTTTTTTCCATAGAGCGGTATATTTCTGATAACCCTTGGCGGTGATTGAGTCACTCGATTGGGTGTTTCTCAAGCTAAAAATATATTTGACGAAACAGGAACGACATATCAAGGAAAATTAAAAACTTTTGGTAAAACACATCTAACACATAGGAACGCTAAATAGAAAAATAGTAGTAACTACAAAAAATTAAAAAAATAAATTATTTAGTGTATTTACACTTGTGTGAGCGAGGCAATTTTTCTTCGGTAGATCAGAACAACAATCAGAAGTGACCCAACCACCAGACCTTTGAAAGATACACAAATCGCAGTTTTTAATTTATCGGTGGACGAGCGCTATCGAAGTACAATTTCGCAATGATAAATATAGAAAATAAATATTTACCTGTTTGATAAATAGGAAATCACGTCTCGGCACGCTTGTCGCGAACTGTTAAGCGACAGCGTTAATGCGCGTCGGGTGGTGGTCCCGGTCGTCGTCGGACGACCGCGAAACGAAATGCGCGCACGAAGAAAACGTCGGAACATTATAAAAGTCCTCGGTTATTCATTAAATGCAGTACACACGGTCCCGCCCTCCCGCGAAAAACGAGAATCCCAGGAATTCGTATTTCCTCCCGTACATCTTAAAAGAGCCCGGGATGCTCCGGGGCGATCAGAGCTCGCGATTTAGGTACGTGTATCCGGTCGGTCCGAAGGATATAGTGTGGCAACGGGGGACCCCCCGTTCGGTGAACGTGAGGGGGATGCCGGACGAAGGCGGGAGGTGTGGGAAAGCGGGGGGAGGAGAGGTGAAATTTTCGCGTGTTCCTCGAGGTTAACGGAGACACTCGGGAAATTTATACTTCGGCAATAGTAATACCGCGGGTGTGAGGCAGGTGCCGGCGGTGGTCCAGATCGATAGGACATTAAAACACGAGAGGAAACGAGAGAGAGAGAGAGAGAGAGAAAGAGAGAGATCTCACTCTACCTTCGGGGCAGGCGCCTCGACGAATAACCTCGCCATAAACGGAGGAAAGCCTTCTTTTACTCAGCCGTACATCTAACTTCGCCGTGATTTACGTCGCGGATTTTGGCGGGTCACGGTAAAACTCCGGCCACTCTCCATTTAGCCCCCGAAAAATGATGTTGTAAACCGTGACGGTCGGACCCGCCCCGTTATTTGATCAGCGGAAAGCCGGGGGAGGAGAACGACGACGACGACGACGACGACGACGACGACGACGACGTCGTCGTCTCAAGTTTGACATATACTGCGGAAGATAGGGGAAGGGAAGGAAAGTGAGTGATTTCGCAGTCGGCAGTCGTTAGACGAACGCTCCCGTTTCGTTCTTTCCGTTGACTTTTGGGAGAGAGAGAGAGTCGGAAATGCGATAATTAAAACGGACGGGAATTATCTTACCTCGCCGTTATGCCACCGTAAGTCTGATTTACATAAAACGGATCGCCCGGCGCGAGCTCTCTCTCTCTCTCTCTCTCTCTTATCTTCACCGCTCACAACTGGCCCGAATAATTTGTCATTTCGTTTTTCGACTGTAATCTCTTACACTTGGTAACGAAGTTACGGATGTTGTTGCTTTAATCGGCGCTTCGCATGCGCCGCGATTCTCTTAAGAACGCGGGCGCGTCTTTCGGCGACTTTCTTGAAGGAACGAATACACAGCCGCATTTTGAGCAAATCCCACGTGAATGTAACGCGCCAAGTTTCCGTGTAGAGAGAAAGAGAGAGAGAGAGAGAGATTCTAAAATTAATTCCGGGAATAAGTTATATAGTTTCGCTAATTCGCTAATTAAAATATATTAATTTTGATACATGCTCTTCTGACGTATAAACTAACTTTCTGAATAAAAGAGAAGTTTCTAACTCTCTCTTTCTCTCTCTCTCTCTCTCTCTCTCTGCAAGAAAATTACTTGCAACTCATGTTGCTAGAGGAAAGAACACGTACGTAATGTATAACAACCGGGTATCGCTTCGATTGCGTGTATATGCTTCTCAAATGTAAATATAAATAATTTCTCGGTGTTACGTAACCTACTTGTAAAACGTACACATCGAACGTGTGACTATAGCTTTGCTAATTTCAAACACCGTAGCCAAGGCTCACCGTGAATAGAATCTGTATTATCTCAGCTACGGGGCAATCCGTAATCTCGCTACTTTTTTCCACAAAAAAAAAAAAACACAATATCGAATCGACAACATTTCTTACCGCTTTTTTGACGAACGAGACGAATCCATATCCTTTGGACTTGAGAGTCTGGGGATCTCTGACGACCCTGCAATCCCTGTAACACAAATATTATATCTCATCAGATAAAACGAAATAAGATACGAGATGAAAAAAAAAAAAAAAAAACGAGAGAACGAATTATCGACGAAAATGTCGCAGGACGCGACATTGTTTCGGACGAATCAAATCTTTTGTACTCGTTCTTGCGCGAGTTAGACACAAAGATTAAACAACAATATAATTTATTTTATTCCAAATCTAATCGCGTGCTCCTTCTCGCAAGATGTGCGTCAAATTCAAATGTTCCGACAATTCGGTATTTGTTAAAGAAATAATTACCAGATATATGTAAATTGCAACATAATCAAACAATGCCCGCAATAAACAAATTCTCAAAATTGAAGTATTTTCTTATACGTATTAATCGAATTACGAGTTTCGACTTACGTGTGTAAAAAACGTTCGTGATTCTCGGAACCTCGTTTTCCTCACGCCGGAAACGTCCGGCGATGTTTCCGATCGTTGCATTCGACACATCGTCGATACCGCGTAATGAACAAAGTAACATGCAAAATTACACGTTGACCGACCGATTTGTGCGCGGAGACGCTTCGTTTTTCCTTTCCCGTTCGATTTACGACCGAAAATAAACCAACGAAAATCGCGACCGACGCGAGTTCGCGCGTTCTTTCATTTTGCGCGCGAACGCGAAACACGCTTCGAACACGCGCATCTATCTAGATTGACGACTCTAACGCGCGTTCCTCTACACGCTCCCGGCTCGAAGTCACGCGCGATTTGAGATATCGCATCCCGGCCCGAACGCACCGGCCAATGGGAACGCGAGAACGCGCAACAAGGCGCGACAGGCCGGGGGGGGTCGCGCAACGATATATCTATCGATATGAGTGCGGAACGGTAACAAATTCGTTGCAACGAACACAACAACAACTTTTCCATCACACGTCGACGCACCAGCACGTTGCACATGATCTACAATATCGAAAACATGTTTTTTCTCCGTTTCCTTTTTTTGTCACTAGCTTCGCCTCGCGCCGCGCGCAAGGGCAGGCAGAGGGCGTCGGGGTGGGGGGAGAGCCGCCGCGGCCATTTCATTTCGGTCGGCCGAGCGGTGACGACGCGTTCCAGCGCGCTCGGTCAAATTCGTATCAAGGTCAAGCCGCACACAAACACACAAACACACACACACATCACCATTTTCCTCTCCGCCGCTCCTTATTTTCCTTCCCCCAAGTGAGTACTATGTTCAGAACCTTCGTAGAATCAAAACGAAACATATATCCGCATTTTTTTTTTTTTATATTACGCGTGTTTTTACGTCACGCTTAGTTCGTAGACACGTGTCGCGACACTGATATTTCGGCCTGGAAATAAATAAAAGAGAAACGCCCCGTGCAATTACAGAATTTAATTTAAAAATTATACATTTGTTTTCAAAACTTTGTTTTCGAACCGCGAAGTTGATACGTTTAATGTTTTTGTTACTGTTTATGTTTTTTGACTTTGTTATTCGTTTTACAAAGATGCATTTCGATGGTTGTTCACGTTTGATATAAAATAATGTTAACAAAGGAACAAAACGCACAACACACGGTATAAATCGAAAGAATTTGTTTCTAAAATCCGTTTTCGAAACGCGAAGAAGTTTGAAATATTTAACGTTTATCCGCTACTGTTTACGTTTTCAGCTTGACTTTGTTATTTGTTCGTTTTACAATAAAAGCATGTTTTTTCGAGTTAGTTTCCTCGTTCGACATAAAATATGTTGCGAAAGAACAACGCGCGACTAAAGAATTAATATATAAGTCGAGGAAATTGCTTTTCAACTCGGTGTTTGAGACAAAAAAGTTTGGTATTTAATGTTTTTTCAACTTTATTTATTTAGTTGGTTTTATTCGGTTCTTTCGACTGACAAAATTAAACATCGATAAATGTAACGATCGTAAAAGAATGCATCGATCATGAATCGGAATCTAGATTGGAGAAATTGTTCGCGATATCGAGATACACTCGAAGGTGAATTTCGAACGCCGAAACGCTTTGCGATTTTACACGACCACTGGCGACGCGGCGCGATCGTTTTCGCGCTCGTAGCGCATCTACGTATGTTTTTCGATACAGTGGCGTAGCGCGCCAACTTCACTCCCGTCAAATTGGCGCGCAACAGCGGCAGAGAGACGGTAATCGGCTAACAACATTTTCGTAACAAAAGCTTGTGCAATTCGAGTTTTAGTTAAACGTGCGATGTAATAAAAGATTATTAGATACGGATACGAGATACTCTGGCTTGCGAGCAGGCTCCGTTGCGGAACCCGAGGAAAGGCGAAAGATGCGAATTGCGGCACCGAACGATACGGGCTCTGTGAGATTCGCGGGTATGCGAGTTTCACTTTATAACGCGCTTTTTTATTTAACTCTATCGTTAAAGTTTCGTCTTTACGTAACTTTTTTCACACATTTTGTTCTTGTTCTTGCATTTTTAATTTATCTTATAATTTGTTGCGTTTCAGATTGCGGATGCATAACTTTTTGCGGACTCGGTAGCTGTTGCAGCACCGGAGGATCCGGTTCGGGCCGAACAGGACCAACCCGGAGGTGTGTTTCACTTTTATATTAATATTATACAATCAAAATTTAATCATNTAAAGCAAAAGCTATTTGTTGAATTTGCANATTTGAAATATAATTGNCAAAATGACATTTTTGTTACAGAACTGCGGAATGTGCGAATATCCTGCGGACTTGGCAGCTGTTTCAACACCGGAGGACTCGGTAGCTGTTGCAGCACCGGAGGATCCGGTTCGGGCCGAACAGGACCAACCCGGAGGTGTGTTTCACTTTTATATTAATATTATACAATCAAAATTTAATCATCTAAAGCAAAAGCTATTTGTTGAATTTGCATATTTGAAATATAATTGTCAAAATGACATTTTTGTTACAGAACTGCGGAATGTGCGAACTTCCTGCGGACTTGGCAGCTGTTTCAACACCGGAGGACTCGGTTCGGGCAGGATCAACTCGAATATAGGAATTGCAGCCGATCCTGATCAGCGGTATTGGGTTCGAGCAGGATCAACTCGGAGGTGTGTTTCACTTTTATCTTAATATTATGCAATTATTTAATCGTTTAAAGCAAAAGCTATGTTTTAAATTTGCACATTTGAAATATAATTGACAAAATGACATTTTTGTTACAGGACTGCGGAATGTGCAAACTTCCTGCGGACTTGGCAGCTGTTTCAACACCAGAGGACTCGGTTTGGGCAGGATCAGCTCGGGGATAGGAATTGCAGCCGATCCTGATCAGCTCGGAGATAGGAATTGCAGCCAATCCTGATCACCTTGGAGATAGGAATTGCAGCCGATCCTGATCAGCGGTATTGGTGAGTAGCCTTTAGGGTTACAAGGTGATGGGATTGTTTGTTTTGAATATTAGTAATATAAATTTTGGTGTGTGTCCAATAAATTTTAATGCAAATAACTATTGAAAAAAAATTGCGAGAAATAGCATATTTTGGTATAGAAACATATTAAAGATCATACAATTACAAAATTATCATACAATTACAAAATTAATAAAATTATAAATCAAAGAAATTTATTTTTAAACTTTATTTTCGAAACGCATAAGAGTTGTTTAATGGTTTAATGGTATGTTTAATGGTTTTTTGCTATTGTCTGTTTGTTTTTCGCTTAACTTTATTATTCAATTTATAAAGATAATTTTTGATTTTTTGTTTCCTCGTTTGATGTAAATTACATGTTACAAAGAACAACGTACAATTAAAGAATTAATATATTAATTAAAGAAATTAGTATTTGTTTTTAAACTACGTTTTTGAAATGCAAAGAAGTTTGATACAAGTAATCATAACAATTCTCGATATTTTGAGAGAGAGAATATTCTTTTTTAAGATATAAAAGATACATAAAAATAATGGTGCCCGACATTTATTAAAGAACCAATGGTTAAATATGCAAATATTAAAAGAATAAATTATTATAAGAATACAATTATTAAATATGTGAATATTTTATAACAACTTTCAATATTTGAAATATTTTAAAAATCAATTTTTAATTAGCAATTTCTAACTTCACTTATATGAATAATTTGTTATTATTTGTTAATTATTTCTTTAATAAATGTTCGGTCACGTTTGGACACACACATTTACCTTATTCCCTTCTCTCCTTTCCTAATAATATTTATTTTATTTATAAATGTTATTTATGTGCACAAATATATAAAAAAACATGTGATTATACAGCAATGCAATAATATATAATCCTCAATATGTATATTTTAAATATGTTTTGATATGTTTTTAATTATTAGATTTTATAATTTTGCGCGTATAAATATAATATATATATTTTATTATAATTATGGTTTTAAATAATGTCCGGCCGGTTGTTCGGTCAGTGGGACATTTATTTATTTGACGTTTTCTTACATCATAAAGCGCAGTTTTTTATTAGTCTGAGTTAGTTTGCGTTACTCGTTTATTCAGGTAGATCTTGTCCAGTAATTTTCATTGCGCGTAATCATTGGAAAACAATTGCAAGAAATGCAACAATTCAAATGTTTATGTCAAACAATTAATTAATACACAGTATTATTCTGATATTACGAAGGGGGGAGGGTCGGGGATGGCACAGAGAGATCTCAATTTGTTTCACACGCGTCATTGAATTTCGAAAGGCTCATATTCTCGGGAAAAGTACCGGCGACATTGTCGAGCGAATTGGGACCGGACCGTTCTGTCCCTCTCTCTCTTTCACCCTTCCTTTCTCTCCTCGCCCCGCGACGAATTCTTCTTCATAATTAAGATTCCAGTAGCGCGCTCGGCGGACAAAATTAGGAATACTGGAACGCGCGACGTGGCCCCGGAGGCTGCAGTCGTTTCGGCACGAGCTTAAGACGAGGAAATATCCTTTCGACCGAGAGAGAGAGAGAGAGAGATAGAGATAGAGGAAACGGGGGTGGCATTCGCCGCGAATAAAATTCCGCCACGCGTATATACCGAA